CAGCCACGTAGTAGAAGCAAAACTTCGGTACGGTGCGGATGGCATAAGTGACAACCCTCCATTTTGGAGTTGATATAGAATCAAGTCAAATACTGGCCAATGGTTTCGGGAGGAGAAGATGTGAAGGCACTCTTTTAGTCCTGAGATATAGAAATATATCTCGAAGGCGGATGAACTAAGGAATGGTTAATGGCATAAGGATGCAGAAGCAACGGGGAACCACTGCATGCACCAAAGACTACGAGACTCGTAGAGTACCCCTAGAAATCATCATGGCAGTTAGTGACAAGCATCACCGTACTAATTATGGTTCTCGGATGCCAAGATTCGGTAGGGGAAGCAATAACAATAATGACAGAGCTCCTCAGCTCGTTAACCAACGAAATCCCTGCGTACTCAAAATACAAAATTTAACTTTTAAAATAGGGACATGGAATGTTAGAAGCATGCATGAGCCTGGTAAACTAAGGAACATAGAACAAGAAATGATGCAGCTTAAGATCGACATATTGGGAATAAGTGACACAATATGGCTCGACTCCGACGAACCAAGTACAACAAATGGTCGACTTTTCTACTCTAGTAGTACCGACAGCCAACATCGGTAGGGGTATGCAATAGTGATTATTGTCAGTAAAAAAGTTGCAAAATCAGTTGTAGGCTTTATACCAATATGGAAAAGAATTATGCTAATACAAATGATGACAGCACATAGAAAATTAAACCTTATTCAGATTTATGCGCCAACCGCTGATAAAACAGAGGAATAAATTGAAAAAATTTACGATGACCTTCAAAAAAACCCTACAAAATACAACATCATAACAGTAGTCGTTGGTGATTTTAACGCCAAATTTGGATAAGGAAGATTTTAAGTCTACTGTAGGACCCTATGGACTCAGTGTTCGAAATGAAAGAGGAGAACGCCTTATAGAATTCTGCCTGGAACATGATCTTACGGTAGTGAATACTTTTTTCAAGCTGCCTAAGCGACGCCTTTACACTTGGAAATCGCCAGCTGACAAGGTCGATAAAATCGTTAGAAACCAAATTGACTATATTTTAATAAACTACAGAAACCGAAACGCCATACAGTTGGTGAAAACGTACCTAGGTGCAGACGTGGCGTCGGACAACAATCTTCTTGTAGCAAAATTCCAACTTCACTTAAAAAAGATACAATAAAACTACAAAAGTAATAAACTAAACACACAAAAATTAAAATCAGAAGACGTCAGAGAAAAACTGAAACAAGAAATGAATGCAAACCTAGAATCCACACAGGAATCAATTGATGGTGATGTAGGACAACAGTGGCAATTCTTTAACAATGCAATTATTGAACCAAGTTATACAGAAATTTTGGAAATGATGGAGGACAGAAGAAGGCAAAAAAATATCAACATAACTCAGTATTAAAAACTGCATAATCAAATAGGAAGAAAAATATGAAAAGCTAAAGAGACTTATATCGCTGGAAAATGTTAAGAAACAGAAGACTTACAAAACAAATATGATAACTTCAATCTCCATAAGAAAGTTAAAGAATTAGCTGGTATAGCAAAATAAAAAACATCAAGCATACTATTGGACAAACAAGGAAACATTTTAGTGGAGACGGAAGAAAAATTAGGAAGATGAAAAGAAAATAGAGGAATTATTCCATCACTAGATACAGGAAAATATACATGAAGATAATCAGAGTAAAGACGAGAGACCCAAAATAACAAAGTCAGAAGTTATGCATGCAGTAAAGTCCCTGAAAAATAATACATGAATAAAATACACGGTACTATTGTATAGGATTAACTACTAACAAATTCATCACCAGATTAATAGGGAATATGCTGACCGACAGAGTACTTCAAGTAATTATGGGATCCGAAATAAGCACCTCCAGAAAACTTAAAAATGGTCGGCCACAAGGCTCGGTACTTGCATCACTGTTATTTAGCCTTTACATTTAAGACAGGCCTACAACAACATCAACAAACTTTTGCCATACTGGTGACTGGGCTTTATTATTACAAACAAAAACTCTAAAATAAGCTGAAGAGATTATGACAGAAGACCTAAAAGTTATGGCAAGTTACTTTCAAAAATGGAGAATTCACCTCAACGCCTCTAAAACCAAAGTGACCGGCTTTCAGTTAAACAAAAATTTGGCATTAAGAACACTGGACGTTCATTTTGATAATAGACGACTTAATCACAATAAACATCCAAAATACCTAGGCGTGACTTTGGAGAAAACGTTAACCCTCTAACTGGCAAGATTCTAAAAATTATTCTATTTACTTGGGAATTTTTTTCAAGTTTAATAATGTATTAAGAAACCTAGAAATGCTATTAAAATGTAATTATCATTTTTTTTTTTTGGCTTCCAGGTAAAAACGGGTAAAGGGGTCCTCAGGGGGCCCTTGCCGGTTTAAGTTAAAAATAGCGTTTTATTCATTTGAATGGATTTTATTAAAATAAACTTTAAAACAAACGGAAAAGAAAGTGTGTACACTATTTTTTATGGTGATAATTATAAAAACAGTTTTTGGCATTAGAACAACATAAGTGAAGATCACATTTGCTACACATACATTGAGTTTTTGACACTTTGCAAAGTTTACATTTTTTTTATCACTCGCTTTGTTGAGCCAAAGTGGAAAGTGATCAATACCGTCGAAGCGAATGTCATCAGTGGGATGTTTTGCTTTTTTTCCAATGCCAGAAGTAGTTTGTTGCGGTGAGCTCGATTGTGATTTTGATGTTGAAGGTCGTTGATGTTGAAGCAGCAGCAATTTGTTCTCTGAATTCTGGTAGCTGCAACAACTTTTCATGTTCCGCTGAGATATTGCTCGAATAATTACATTTTTCAGCATGTATGCGACGGTACAAAATATAAGCGTTTGTTGCAGCCATATCGATCAAGTGGTAGAAAATTCGAACCATTGCACTACGTGTCTTCGCTCTAATATGGTAGCGACCCATCAATCCATCCATCAGATCGACTCCTCCCATATGTCTGTTGTATTCGCAAATGATCTGCGGACAGTTGACTTCGATGTATTTCTTTTTCTTTCGATCACATCGTGGTACTTTTGCAATATGTTGATTTGAATTTGCTCTCAAAAACGGCTCAATGCCAACGTAAGTCGATGCCAGCCGCACGTTCTTGGTATCTTTCCATAAAATTGTACTGAAATCAACACCGTACGCAGATCCACAATATTCAACAGAATATCCTCTTTCTTCATCTTTGATATCCTTATCCAACGGAAGCTTACAGTTTGGGATTCTATTTGTCCGTATTGTACCAAGGCTATAGATTCCTCTTGCACGTAAATAAACTAACAAAGGTAAAGACGTATAGAAATTGTCGAAGTAAAGGATGTCATGAGAAAAGCTAGTTATGGTCTGTGACAAACGTACAACAACGTTTGATGTACTTCCAAGGTCAGGTGCGCCAGGAAGAATTATATTGTCGCCTGCACCGTTGTAAATTTCAAAACGATATGCATAACCGTGAGAATCACAAAGCACAAACAGTTTGATGCCCCATTTGTGCGGCTTATTTGGCATATATTGACGGATATGATGCTTGAGTTTAGTCGAACACATCTGCTCATCAACACACAATCTAGCCGTCTTTGGAATCGAATCAAAACGATTGTTGACCTTATCAGCCAATTTCCGGATGCGAAACAGTGGATCATAGCCTAGCTGACCTTTTCAAATGCGCTGCCTTTCATCTTGAAACGATAAGTGTTTCTTTATTGCCATAAACTTTTTTACAGGCATTGTCTTCTGGATGGGGGCGAACGCGTTTTTGCTCCAGTAGCTCTTTAGATTAGGGTATCGATAAATCGACATGTACATCAACACTCCGATAAATTTCCGAATCTCCTCACCACTCGCGGCGAATTTTGTATTGATATTTTCTTGACGAGCTGCATCGTTCGTTTCATTGGCCACCAAATCAATAATCTCTTTTGTGAAGAAATAATTGAAGAGTTCTATTGGTGTTTCCAGTTCTTTTATTGACGATGGCAACCGTACATCTCCTTGGAAAGCTACTTCGTTTACATGCAAGCTCATTGATCGCTTACGCCACGTTACTTTTGTAAATTGTTCCGAATCTTTTTTGATATCCTGAATAGCTGAAATGAGAATAAAAATAGTACACTATTGCTAAAGTATGAATATATAACTATTACCTCTCCCAGTAAAACCACTAATAGAAGGCATGATCAAAGGTCCAGAATCTTCCATTATAGGTAATGGCGAACGGGGTCGTTTCTTTGGCTTAGAACTTGCAGCATGTGCGACATCGGCGACTGAAGTAGATGGAATTGCTTTCATACATCTAGACGGCCCAGCCTCTTCCTTTTTTAAAGATTCGACACATTCGTCAGCTTCGATTTGCACCGCCGTTAGCATTGTTGATGATGCAGCAGGTATTTCTATGTCACTGATATTTAGCGACATGTTCACATTTTGAATAAAATAGTCGCTTGTTTCACCTGCTTGCATTTCACGGATACACTCTGTTATCATGTCATCTGGAGTGATCTCATCCTGCTCGTAATCTGGGTCGATGTCTGGATCATCACTGCTATAATCACCTGACGAATCCATTTCAACAAAGTCTAAAAGTTCTTGGATTTCATCTTTGGTCATTACCGACAAATTAAACTTTTTCTGTCTCCAGCTGTTATTGCCTGCCATTTCCAGAAGCAAAATAAACAAATAAAAATCACCTAACAGAGGAGTGCTACCAGCGACCCTGCGTGAGCAGTTGCCAGGATTTCCTGTTTCCAACGCCAGAGATTTACTATATAAACAATCATCATGTTTGCCCATAAATTGGATATAATTAAGTATTTTTATATTGTCAACTTTAATTTAACTTGTTTATTGCAATTTCATAAATGTATCGAAGTATCACGCGCTAAATAAATATTTTTATATTATTTTCTTAATTAACTATGATTTAAATATTGTTTTAGATACCGTATCATCAAATTTTTACATCTACAGAACATGCTATGTTACACTTGGTTATAATAAATCCGATTGTTCTCAATTAGGAAGAGAAACAAACAACATGACCAAAAATTTGGAAACGTTAGTACAACCTACTGCAAATCAAATTAGGATGGTATTTAATTTAGGTCAAATGTTTATTCCCTTGATTATGAACTTGTTTATTGGATCTTGGTCAGATAATTATGGAAGGAAGCCGTTTTTAATAATTAGTTTAACAGGTAAATACTCCCCAATTTTACTGAAAATATATACTTCCTTAAAAATTTACTGACTTATTTTTAATTTGTTTTATCGCAATATTTCCATATGTTATTATGGATATTATTTGAAAAGGTTTCATTTTCATTGTTTATTTTATTGCGGGGCCTATCTTTTTTTGATTTTTTTATGGGCCCATCCCGACTTATTTACTATTTTTTAGGTTTAATTGTATGTTAAATCGTCTTTTTTCTTTCATACTGGATAGATCTTTTTTAATCTAGTAATACCACTACCTTAATCGCGTCTCATCTAGTGCCTTAAATTCTACCATCATCATATAAGTAGCTGCCCAATGTTTGTTCAGCAAATCTATATCTTCATTACAGTAGTATTTAACTCATTTTAAATCTTATTTTAATTAACAATACCAGTGTTTCAGAAATATTAATTTAAAAAATTCTAAATTTAGTAAAAAATATTTAATACAATCATTTAATAAAAGTTCTAATTCACATTACTATTTTAGTCCAGTCGTTAGACTTCGTTTGCCTTCTTCCTGTAACTAGGTATATATTCAACAAATCTTTACTAATAATTTTTTTAAATTTTATTAAAATCTTATAAAAAACTTTAAAATAAAAATTAACTATTACAAAAATCAGAAAAAAATGAAGAATTTAAACGAAGCTTCAACGAAAGATAAATAAAACAATTATTTTCATTAATCATGGCTTTCTCGAATACTGATGGTCCATGATACTAACGTCCTTTTCTTAATGATTAACTTAACAATAGAATTTTTAACATTCTCGGGTTTAGATTCTAATCAATAAATTAGTATTATAGTGTACATCTTTAATGAACAATACAGCTACGTCCATATGACTTTTTTCTTTTATCACAACTCTTTTGAAAGTTTTGAGCAAAATTTGTTCAGATAGGCTAGTAATAATAGAAAATTCTTCATAATATAAACTTTTATAATTACTACAATTAAAATATGTATTCAGCTTCATTTTTAAAAGTTCTCTTGGGCGCCTTCGATTCAGTAAAAGAATATAGCACTACAATGTTTTAAGTAAATTATTGTATGCGGATACTTTCCGGTTAACTTGAAGTTCAGTAGCTGCCTTCTTAGGCACGTCAATCAAAGTATTCTTTACAATTTTGAGATAATTTGCTACCGGAACAATTGAAATCTTGTTCCATGTCTTTAGATTTAAATTGTTGGTTGCTTGACTAAATATTTCATATCGCCAAATCGTAGTGAACAATTGGAGCATTGTTTTAAGCTGCGCTTCTGCTTCCGCTGCTGCAGTGTATTCGAAGTTTGCTGCCTTTTTAATAACAAAGTTAATAGTAATGTCACAGCGGCATTTATTTTTTTAGTATCCCTCTTCATAAGCAATTCTGCTTGTTCATTGGCGGATTAATACCTCTATGGAAGGTTGTCACTCCATCTTTTGCGCGGTCGTCCAATATTTCTTCTGCCGATAGGTGCCTAATCTCTTGCTATGTGTACGACATGGATCTCCTTTATTCTACTTATGTGGTTATTCCATTCTTTTTCTATATCGTGTGTCCATTCCTTTATACACTGTACGTTACACTTTCTTCTAATGTCTTCACTTCTCTTTCGATCTCTCAGCGTATTTACTGTAATTCTTCTCAGTACTCTTATCTCTGCCGTTTTCAGTAGTATTTGCGTTGTGGCTGTATCGGGTCTTTTTTCTAAGGCATATATCATTATTGGTCTTACACTGACTTTATAAAGTCTTAATTTCATCTTAGTGTTAATGTGTCTGTTTCGCCATATAGCGTCATTAAGGCACCTGCCAGTCTATTTGCTTGTTGTACTTGATCTCTCACTTCTTTGCCTAGGTCTCCATAGCTTGACAGTGTAATTCCCAGGTATTTTATTTCCATCACATGTTTGTCAATACTGGTGCCATAAATTTCTATTTTACATCTGGTTGGTTCTTTGCTGACTACTATGTTTTGTTTTCTGAGATGAGATTGTCATATTAAATTCTTTTGCTCTTATGTTAAATCTGTGGTCCAGTATTTTCAGACTATCTTTATCTTGGGCCATCAATATTGCGTCGTCTGCGTAACAGAGTATTTTGATTTCTTTATTTCCCATTCTGTATCGCCTTCCTTTGCTAATGGCTTTGATGATTTTATCCATGATTAAATTGAGAAGTATGAGACACAATAAATCCGTTTCTCTTATTCCGCTGTCTCTTTCTATAGGTTCTGTAAGTTGTCTATCTATACTGACTTCCATTTTATTGTTTTGATAGATTCTCTATTACACAGAAGATAAATTACATCTTTAAATCTTACTCTGGTAAACGCTTTCTTTAGGTCAAACAGACACAGAAATGCTGGTCTATTAGACTCTAGTTATTTCTCAGTAATTTGCTTTATAACGAATATTACATGTGTACACGATTTTCCACTATGAAAAACTTGTTGTTCAACTGCTAAACTTATTCTCTGATTTATTAGCACTTTTAAAATTTTAGTTGTAAGTTTTAACGTAGTATTTAACAAGTTTATGTCTCTGCAGTTTTCTGGTTGTTTTTTTATCTCCTTTTTTGAATAGTAGAATTAGTTCCCCCGTTCTCCATTCTTCCGGTATTTTATTGTGTTTTATAATTTTATTAATTAATGTTGTTAATTGTTCTGTCATTGCTGCTCCCCAATATTTTAGTAACTCGTTTGGTATACCGTCTTTACCTGCTGTTTTTCTCTTGTTCAGGTTTTGAAATATTTTCAGAACTTAATGTACATTTATATTAAGTGTTCTCCATTGGTAGTAATTACTGTTTCCGGTTCTAACGTCGTTTTGTTCTTCCTATATATATATATATATATATATATATATATATATATATATATATATATATATATATATATATATATATATATATATATATATATATACTATATATATATATATATATATATATATATATATATATATATATATATATATAGCTTTTTAGGTAGTCCACAGGTAGATGTTAGTGACCACATTGACCCATCTTATTCTATTCACAGCAGCTCGAAATAGATCAGTTGACGTTAGACCAGTCCATTTCCTAACATTGGTCAGCCAGGATATCCGTCTACTTTCAGGGACTCACTTACCCTCAGTCTTGCCCTGTAGAATTAACTGTAGAAGTCGGTAATTATCATTATGCATGATGTGGCCAATTTTCTGTTTTCTATGGTGTTAATATTTTTTTTGCCTCTGCAGAATAGTTATGTTACTGGTGTGGTGTATATGTGAGACCATCAACATACGTCGGTAACACTACATTTCAAATACCTCCAATCGTTTTATAGCATCTTCTGTAAGGCTCCAGCTTTCTATAGAGCAGGACACTAAAGAAGTAACATCTAAGAATTCTTATACGTATATTGATACTTAAAGATACGTTGCAGAGAATCTTCCTAATGCTGTTACAGGAGGTTCTGGCTTTTTCAATATGAGTTTTTATTTTGTAGCTGTGATCCTGAGTATCTTTAATATTGCAGCCCAAAGCGCATATTTTTTCCACTCATTCTAAGGGTGTATTGTTAATTGTCATTTGGACATTTATGCCGGGGTTTTTACTAATTTTTTTTTATTAACACCTGCGCGGTGTTTGTATACTGCTGTCTGGTTACAAATAACCAATTATCAGTTATTTTCTGACCTAACATAATAACAGCAAATACTTACATCTAAAGGCTTACCTTATGGCTTACTCTTATTTTATCTATTAACTAATGCACTACAACTAGCATGCAATAACTTCACAGCACTATACTCTGCTTTTTACACTAAACTGTTACACATTTACACTACCTCAAATGGTTTTGTCCTTATGAGTCTTCTCTTTAGTTCAGTGTTGTCAAGAAGCTGGATTGCCTCGACATTCACATGACTATGCAGCCTCTGCTCGTGACTTGCTACTGTTCTCTTGATTATTTCGATCACAGTTTCCATTCCTAGGTCCTGGTGGAAGTTGCTGTTACGGATATACCAAGGAGCATCAACAATGTGTCTCAGTACTTTATTTTGAAATCTCTGGATAATAAGTTGATTACTAGCTTTGGTACAGCCTCAGAGTTGGCACCCATATACCCATACTAACCTCAGTACTTGCTTATAGATGGATAATTTATTATGAATTGACAATGTTGAATTTTTTCCAATCAGCCAATACAATTTCTTATATCTAATATCAAGCTCCCCTCTTTTCTTTTTGACATGGACTTTCCAGCGCAGCTTCGCGTCAAGGGTGATGCCCAAGTATTTTGCTGATGTTGCATAAGGAATTCGGGTATCATTTATTCTAACTGGGAAATTTACTATTTTTTTATTTGTAAAGTTAATGTGTGCAGATTTAGTCTCATTTAATTTTATTCGCCATTTTCTGGTCCAGTTATGTATTTTATTTACTGATAGTTGCAATTTATCAGTCGCTTCTTCACTAGTGTCTCCTATCGCTAGTATGGCTGTATCATCCGCGAAGGTGGCAATAGTATTTTGTTCTAGCTCTGGAATGTCACACGTATACAATAGGTACAGGACCGGACCTAAGACACTTCCTTGTGGCAAGCCAGCTTTGATCTCCCTTAAGTCGGTGTACACTTCTTCTTGTTTTACTCTGAAATATCTATTCGCAATGTATGATTTCAAGATTTCTGAATACTGTTTAGGCATGAACGTTCTTAGTTTATAGTTTAAACCGTCATGCCAGACTTTATCAAACGCCTGTGCTACATCCAAGAAGATTGTAGAGCAGACTTTATTTTCTTTTAATATTTTTTCTATTATATTCGTTATTCTGTGAACTTGATCTATAGTGGAATGTTGATTTCTGAAACCAATTTGATGATTTGGTGTAAGATTTTTTCTTTATATTATTGGTTTTAATCTTTTTAATAGAAGTTTTTCAAATAGTTTTGACATCACCGGAAGGAGGGATATTGGTCGATCGGATGTCACTTCATTAGGAGATTTACCTGGTTTGGCGATCATAATTACTTTGGCTACTTTCCAGAGTCTGGGAATATATCTCAATCTAAAAGCAGCATTTATTAGGTGTGTCAGCTTAACTATGGCTTTTTTTGGTAGATTTTTTAATAATTCTCCTGTTACGAGATCATATCCTGGAGCTTTCTTAGGATTTATGTTCTCTTTTATCTCTGTTGATAGTTCTCTAAGTGATGTCAATAATATTCTTTCGTCAGTTTGGAATGGTTCTTCTCATCTTAGTTCTTCACTATCATTGTCGTTGGGTTTGAACGTGCTTTCGAAATGATCTGCAAATCGTTCTGCTTTCTGTTCGTTACTTCTAGCCCAGTTGTCGTTTTCCAACTTGATAGGAGGGGAATGAATAATTGGTCTCTTCAATCTTTTTGTTGCCTTCCATAAAGAATAATCTGTGTTCTGGTCAGCTGTTAATATACTTAAAAAATAATTAATTGTTGAATTTTTTATATTCTGTATCTCCTTTTTTAGTTTTTGTGTAGCATTATTTAGACTAGTTTTGTCTCGTGGAGCTCTGTAGTGCTGCCATTTTTTTCTTCCTTTTTTCTACTATGAGTTCTCTGATTTCTTTTGGATAGTTGTTCCCTTTTGTTCTAGAAGTTATTGTGGGAATAGTTTCCCAAGCTGGCTTTTGGATATTTTTTATAAAAACTTCTAATTCGTCATGAAGTTGCCTCGTGTTTCTTAATGGAACAGCAAGATTAATTTTGTGTTCAAGGTTTATTTTGAAGCTCTCCCAGTCAGTTTTTTTATTAGTCAATATTGGATTGAACTCTTTTTTAATCACTGTATCACTAATAGTTAGAATTATCGGTAAGTGATCAGAGTTCATGTCCCAGCCGTCATTGATATCCAGATAGTTAGCTGAGATATTTTTGTAAATAAAGAAATCTATCAGGTCTGGAATTTTGTTCCTATCGGTAGGCCAGTATGTTGGTCTACCAGTAGAGATTACTTCACCCTTTTGTTCCTTAACACCTGACAATAGTTCTTTTCCTTTAGTTGTAGTTAGCCTAGAGCCCCAGTGGGTATATTTTGCATTAAAGTCGCCACCGATGATGTATATTTTTCCTAAAGTGTTCATAAACTAGGTAAAGAAATAATAAATCAGACTTACTCACAATCAATTTAATTTAACTATCCGACGACCGGTTTCGCTTTCTACAATATGCAAAGCATCTTCAGGTCTCGGTACAAAGTTAAACAAATGCTGAAATGATAAAAACCCATATTAGGGTGTTGTCTAATAAAGATAAACAAATAAGATGTTATAAATTACAATAATTATGCCAATATTACCTGTCTATGGTTTTATTTAAATGATTGAGTTGAATAAAAGGTATAAAAATTTTTTAAAAAAGTTAAAAGGACAAGGTAAGGCACACAAGTTGTCATAAAATCTCTTCTATTGGAATAAATTAATGAATGAGCAAATAAATAAATGAAATAAAATAAAATTACTTACATGCCGGTACTCTATTAATAGATGGATGGTAGAACATGTTTGAAACATGTTTTTAAGAAGATTTAGAAGTAAGTCCAATATTTTTATCTTTTAACTTTCATCTTTCTTTCTAGAACGTGAGTTATGTATAGTAGATCTTTTGAATAGTTTGATTGCTTTCCAAACTAAATAATCTATGCCGCTGTCATTAGTTAATTTATTTATTAACTCATTCATTTATCAATTTATTTTTGATTCTTCTTCGCGTGCCATATCAGAATTATCCGACGTTGGCCATCACCATTGCGAAGGCTTCTCGATCTTCTGCAATATGGAATAATTGTCCCGCATTTGATATCCGAGTCTATTCTCGAATGTTCTTCAACCAAGAGACCCGTTTTCTTCCTACACCTCTACGGTCCTCTATTTTGCCTTTAAGGATCAGTTGTAATATTTTATATCGACTGTTCCTTACTATATGCCGCAGGTAAGACATTTTTCAATGTTTAATAGTCTTTCGCAGTAGGTTGACGCTTCTTAGTACTTGTTCATTAGTTTTCCTTGCTGTCCAAGGTATCTTTAGCATTCGTCTATGAACCCACATTTCCAATGCTTCAATTTAATATTTTTGATACGTTGATATTTTTACTTCTTCTATAACCTCGGTTAAGCAGAAAGTTTGTACATTCTTCTTTTATTAGTACTTAAGACAGTAAGCGTTACAGTATTAGTTAATGTTGAACATTAAACAACAAGTTGAAATTTTTTATCAGTAATAGAAAATTAGTTTAAAACTGGGCAGGTCACGTAGCTCGATATAATGACAACAGGTGGATACGGAGAATTCTAGAATGGAGACCAAAGACGACAACAAGAAGCATGGGAAGACCTCAAAAAAGATGGGTAGATGACATAAGAGCAGTGTTAGGCAAGCAGTTAATTAGACTGGCGCAAGATAGAGAAAAATGAAAGCAATTGGGAGAGAGCTACATTCAGGATGGATGGAAAATGATTGACAAAATGGAGTTTAAAACTAGGATCAAAAGTATTTTAAGCTTATCCATTTATTTAATATTCTATTATTTTATAATATATATAGATATCTTATTTCTTAACTTTTTAGGTTTAACTTTAAGCTCTGCTCTTACCACAATATTGTCCCACTTTGAAAGTTTATCGCCTTGGATATTTCTTGCCACGACAATACCATCAATGTTTGCTGGTGGATTCAGTGCTGCGTTTATAATTATCAATTTGTATATAGCAGATATTACCACATCGGAAAACCGTGTTTTCAGGTAAGGTTGATTTTTGTATCAACTCAAAAGCTATAAGCTTGCGACATCGTATATTCACATTCGTGGATATGTAGGTTTAAACTTAAACGGATTGAACACTGATTCTTACAGTATTGCTTAATGTCAAAATTAATTATGGATTACTTTTCTAAATATTATTGTGACCAATAAATACAATTTTTATATCAGTCTTGAAACATGATTTAAAACATGGAATATTCAAACCTTATATAGATCAAGAGTCCTCCAAAACATCCTAAACGAACTGAATAAATACAAAATAGACATAACTGCCATACAAGAAATAAAATGAAAGAAACAATATAATGAAACAAGTGCGGCCCTAAAGATCAGATTTTGGTCACTAGATGTATAGTAAACCAGAGAATAAAACATGTAATGAGAGATTTTAGAGCTATTAACCCCAAAATATGTATTTTAAGCCTTAAAAGTTGTTTCGTCAACTTTTATCTAATTAATGCGCATGCTTCGACGAAATTAAAGATCAATTTTATGATGAATTGGAGTTCATATTAGTGTCGAACTAGTCATGCCCAAAAAATGATATAAAAATAATATATATGGAGAATAGGATAAAATAGAATAGAATAAAATACAAATATGCTTTATTGTCACTGAAAATTATATAATTTTATGGACAAAACAATTAAAATTTACTAAAATTATATAAATCGTCAATATCACAGAATAAAACATAATAGAATAAAATATACAATCCATTGCAAAATTTCACTAAATTGCAAATTGCATAATAAAACCTTACGAACTACACTGTAGTTTACGGATAAGTTTAAGCTGCTGCTTGTAATACCCAAATATATATAAAAATACTTTGTTGCTTGTACCTAAACGTACTGTACTTTCTTAATTATTCGTTAAGAAACTCTTCCACTGAATAATCAGGTCTTTCAGATAGATAGGCTTTTGACAATGCACGGAACTTAAGGAAAGAAGTTGTAGATTTAAGTTGCAAAGGGAGATGGTGGTATAATTTTTTTGCCGAATATATAGATTTTTTTACTAACTCAGTGGACGGGATCGGTAAGTACACATCAAAGCTTGAATTTCTGGTGAAGTAGTCATGACTTATTGCTGGAAAAACATATGTTTACGAATTAATCAAACAGTTTGTAGAATATATAGAGAGGGAAGAGTTAAAATCCCGTGATTTTTGAAGTAGTTTTTGCATTGTGTTGTTCTACTGAGGCCAAAAAGGTACCGTATTGCTCTTTTTTGTAGTTTAAAAATAACATTAGATTGGGCAGCTGTACTAGAACCCCAAAAAGGACGGCCATATCGAAGATGAGACTCGAAAAAAGACAAGTATGTTATTTTGAAAGATTCTAAATTCATTTCCTTCGAAACAGATCTTATTGCATAGGAGGCTGAGGCTAGTTTCTTACTTAACAAATCGATATGAAGGGACCATTTAAGATTGCTGTCTATAAAAATACCAAGAAATTTTACAGAATTACTTATACTGATGTGGCTGTTATTAAAAAGCAAGGGTTAAAGAGCTCTTTTATAAGACAGCGCTACTGTCTTATCCGCGTTAAAAGAGAGTAAATTAGACCAGGTTTCTATTTTAAGTAGACCAGAAGTTTTAATTGCATGAAGAAATGCAATATTAGAGTTCTTTCAGGTAATACTGGTATCATCAACAAAATGAAAAATGTTTCCATCCATTTTTAAGTTAGTGATGTCATTTATAAAGATAAGGAAAAGTAGAGGACACAGTACTGGACCTTGTAATACTCCACATATAATGCTTTTGTGACTAGAGCTAGTAATATTTGCTCTAACTAGTTGTTTCCTGTTCCTCAAGTAAGATTGTAACTAAGAAGAAATACCTCGAATTCCGTAGAAATTTAGTTTTTTTTTTTCCAAAACTACATAAAAACAAAAGTAAGAAGAGCAAGAAAAGCATTAGAGTATAGGTAATCACAGGTTACATAAGCAAACAAATGATAATACAACTCGCACGATCACTTAGCAGTATTGCCAGCGTATACTTTTGGGCAGATATTATGGTAGGTGGGCGCACGGAATTTTTTGTTATTGATGGAACTTTAATAGGACGAAAGTACATCACATGAATTTTAGTACCTCATGTACAATTATGTGGAGGAGCTGTAGGTGAATTTGTTTTTGTGGGTGATAACAACGTTTGATAGGACTTAATCAGTTAATCACTACCTTAGAACAGAAGTTATTCTCCGTTTGGAGTAGCCTACGATATCTCCAAATATGAACCCCACTGAACATGCTTGAGATGTGCTCTGAGAATTCTTCTAGAACCCATCATGAACTTGCAATTGCCTGTAGAGAAGAATAAGAGAATCTGCTACAGGAAATGATTAATCGACTTGTTTGGCAGTGTTAGACCTCGAATCCAGGTACATCGATGCTTCTGGTGGAAATATATGATCTAAAAATTGTTAAAGACGTTTTAATTAAAAATAATTTTTTTAATTTTTTATTTTTTATTTATTAAGAAAACAGTACCTCTTTTAAAATAAGAAATATCTGTCTACGATATTGCATTTTTCATAAATGATCTATACCTAACAGTAGTTTCTGAAAATAAATAATACTAGAAATAATTTTAGATGATGCATAACTTTTTAAACTATGAATATTTCTAGCTGTAAACTTTTTGTGTGTGTATATTTTGTGATTTTGATATTATTTTTGATTGTGATGTTTTAACCAAGGCCCGTATGCCCAAACATTACGTTCTGGGTCTATAGTATCATGCTTTGTAAAAAGTTTATTTTATTTATAATGCATAAAAGAGAATTATTGTTATAATAATTATGCCTCCAGTCTGTAATTATATTCCTCATTTGATGTCATCATTTCCCACTCCTGATATTTTATAATACATAATATGATTTAAATAATTCAAGTATTAATTTCAGGTATGGTATTTACGAAGCAGTAATGGCTTTTTCTTCTCTCATTGGAAATCTCAGTGCATCATATTTACTTTACGCCACTAGTTATGAAGCTGTATTTTCTGTAGGCACGTGCTTAATAGCCATAAGTGTTTTTTATACAATATTTTTATTACCAGAATCTCTAGATGTGGAACGAAAAGTAAGTATTCCGCCAAATATGCTTAACTTAGTGTCGTGCCATTTGCATCCCTTTCTTCACTTAAAAAAGGGATGCAACATAAATGAAGTTATAAAAAGACTTACTACTTACTTTGAGTGCAGCTCTATTCTCCTGTCAACCTTGTTAAACTCGTTTATGGCAGACTTATAAAAACTGGCAGAATGTCTCGGCTGCGCAACCTGAGAGGGTGGTAGGATGTACATCAAACGAACTTTTTAGAGCAGCCGTCTCAAATGTCTGAATAACTATGATGATATTAACATGGAACTCACACTTAGGCGGTAGAGCTAAAAGAGCATATATTGCCTATGAACAGTGTCGACGAACGGTTGGACGCACCTGGGGCCTCACGCCCAGAGTGATCGCCTGGGTCTACACCGCTGTCATTAGGCCAATGCTAACTTACGGAGCTATTGCTTGGGTACCAAAAGTGCTATAGGCAACAGCGATTAACAAACTAAACCATATTCAGCGGATGGCTTGCATAAATATAACAGGTGCCATGAAAACAACACCAACTGCTGCAATGGAGTTGATCATTGGCATCACGCCTCTAGACATATATGTCAAAGAGGTGGCTCTAGTGACAATGATGCGACTGCGCTCAGCTGGTGCAAACCTTGATGTAGGAATGGGACAATTGAGACCTCGTTTCTGGCGGCGAGAGCTGGATGCGTTACCAGTACTACAGGCAGGCTGCGACTCAATTGAACCAAAGTTCGTCTTTAACAAACCCTACAAAATTGAAACAAGACAGTATATGGAGACAAACGTGGCAAATACCTATACACCAAAATGCAGATGGCTCCAAAATGAAAGAAGGCTCAGGATGCGGGATATACTCCAGATCACTGAACCTAAGAATAAAGTGGGGTATGGGCAAAAATGCCAGTGTACTTCAGACAGAACTAACTGGTATTTCCATAGCCGCAAAAGAGATAACCCAAAAAGGTATAGCAGGGAAAACTGTAATGATCTGCACAGATAGCAGACAAGCGCTACTAACCTTGAATAGACCACGTGTCACATCAGGTTTAGTAATGGAGTGTCACGAGTCACTAACTCAAGCTTTGGATGGTAATACCATCATACTGAAGTGAGTTAAAGGACACAATAGGAATAAAGGCAACCGCATTGCTGACCAATTATCTAGGAAGGCGGCAGGCCTAAGACTCTTGGGACCTGGGGATCTTTTTGGTTGGTCAACTACAACAATCGCAGAAATTGTCAAATGTCACTCCCATACGCAAACCGTAAAAAGATGGGAAGAAGGGAAAGGATGTAAACTTGCCAGGGTAACACTAAGTAACGTTGAAGAGTCAACATCAAAGAAGTACTTGGGAATGACCAGGAAAAATCTACGTTTGGCAGTTGATTTTTTAACTGGTCATTATCAACTAAGCAAACACCTCCACACACTGGGGCTAGTAGACACACCTCTATGTAGGAAGTGTGAACGAGAAGACCAAACTGTAGAGCAAGTCCTATGTGAATGCCCAGAGTTATCGTTAATACGAGAGTACGCGTTAGGCGAGTCCTGGCCTACACCTGCCCACATAAGTGATATGTCTCCTGGTGACTTGTCCACCTTCCTAGAAATGGCAGGATGGACAATGAGCTAAGGGTTACAGCTCCCTGGGAGGATGCACAATGTGTCAATTGTGACCTAAATGCTGTGAAACTTAACTCGCCCTCCCTACTCTACAGATACAGAGAACTACGATGATTGTTGACGTCCACCGCGGAGATGGCACTTGAAGAAGATAAAACTGGGATTTTCAGATATTTATTTAATAAGTTCTTTTTCAATTAACAAAATCGCTAAGTAAGCTAGCCTCTGCTCACTTGTGGAATTTATGACAAAGTTTTTAATCCACTTTAGTACAGAAAAACTTCGTTCTACAGACTCACTTGCACGTAGCAGGCATTGTCATCACTAAGTCACATAAGTTTGATTCCTTATCATATGTTTCTTCCAGTTCAGTTTGTTTAAAACATAATACAACATTTTAGAACTGGTATCAGTGTGTAGAGAGTGTTGAGAAGCATACAAAACACACAGTTGGGTTCAAATATAATATCATTCAAAGATATTAGATAAACCAACAGAACATTGAGAAAGCTATAATAAGCTCCGAGTCCAAAGGTAAAAATTAATAAACTAAAGTAGGCAAAGAATTAAAGTAAAAATTATAAATATAATAAATAATAAAAATAAATGAAGATGGGCTGATCATATTGCAAAAACATAGGAAGAGATATGGACAAAGAAAACAAACGAAGCCAAAGGAATCATTGTATCATTGTCGACGGTGAAATGCTGTCCCACCTACGATTTACGAATTAAAAAAGATTGGATGCTCCTTTTCTAACTTAACTACACCGTACTAAAGATGACAAATAATCAGAAATAACGTATATACGGTTGCCTTTCATCTTATACACATTTTATTATATTTTTTTTCTTTGTTGCGAGCTTTTGTTGTTGTTGAACCTTTTCTTGTTGTTTAAAACGTTATAAACCTTTGGCATTCCTTTCCTCATGTAGCTTGGCTTCCTTTGTGCGTATGTTAGTTGTTGCTGTGGAATCCTCAGAGTCTTCTAACATTATTGCCACAAATTGATCACATTGCTTCCGTGGTGATCCTTTCCCATGCTGATATGCTCCTTTTCTAACTTAACTACACCGTACTGAAGATAACCAATAGTCAGAAATGCGTATATGCTGTTGCCTTCCATCTTATAATAATTAATAATATTTCGCATTAACTTTTTTTTGTTGTTTTATACGTTCTAAACATTTGTCATTCCTTTCCTCGGATAGCTTGGCTTCCTCTGTGGATGTGTTAGTTGTTGCTCTGGAATCCTCAGGGTCTTCTAACATATATATATATATATATATATATATATATATATATATATATATATATATATATATATTAGTGGATTCTCTTGCGCTTAGGTTCATAAAAAAAGTTAGTTTAATACTAAGACATTTTTATATTTTTTTTCCGACGTTTCGGTTTCGGAAATCCATGCCTTTTTCAAGAAATAATATTGACAAGCATGTAAAAATTCGGTATTAACAAGTAGACGTCACAATTAAAATAATATTAAAACATAGGACATACCCACTAAGTCACTACATATAAAAATGAGTCACTACATATAAAAATGAGTCACTACATATAAAAAAAATTTATATGTAGTGACTTAGTGAGTATGTCCTATGTTTTAATATTATTTTAATTGTGACGTCTACTTGTTAATACCGAATTTTTACATGCTTGTCAATATTATTTCTTGAAAAAGGCATGGATTTCCTGCCGAAACTTCGGAAAAAAAATATATAAAAATGTCTTAGTATCAAACTAAAACAGAAAACTTCGTCTCTAGCACAACATGCCATCAACACAGGACACAAAATCGACTTAAATGGAACAACAATGCTAGCCAATATCGAAAATAAGGCCAAACATGTAATCAGGGAAGCCATAGAGATCCAAAACATCCAAAAAATTTAAATACCAGAGACGATGCCCAAAGACTCCCAAATACGTGGAAACCAATTCTGCAGAAAAACGTAGAAATTAAAATAGCGAAGAAGACCCCGCCCACTCTGCGCATAGGACCACAAGTTTCACACAGGTTTTACAGTTTTTTGTGAAACCACAGGTTTCACAAGAAACGCTTTAAGGTATTTAAACTTAGCGAACAGCGACCGAGAAATCAGTTCTCCTGAAACATCAAGACGAAGCAGAACTAATCTGACTTGACAATGGCAAGTGTGACCTTGCCAAAACGTCGTCAAAACAATGGTTTTTCTAAAAACTCCGTTAAAGACTCCGTCAAAGAACTCCGTTAAGGCATCCAATTGTTCTACAGGCCTGGGTTATTCGTTTTCTAATTTCCCTATTGTCTGTGCCTGTGGTGTCGAAATCAATTCCTAATTCTTCTTCCCCTTCCTTCTTCTAACATTATTGCCACAAATTAATCGTATTGCTTTTGTAGTGATCCTTTCCCAAGTTGACATACTTCTTTTCTAACTTGGCTGCATCGTACTGAAGACGATCAATAGTCTGAAATACGTATATACAATTGCCTTCCATCTTATACACATGTTTTATTATATTTTTTTCCTTTGTTGCGAGCTATTCCGATATCTACTAACTTTATTTTACTGTTAACTCGCATTAACCTTTTTCATATAATTACTATTTTAGGTTCCAAAAATAAAGGATCTAATCAAAATGATGAACATCATTGAAACTTTCACGATTACCTTCAAAAAAAGAGAATCTAACAAAAGAAAATCTCTAATTATTATCCTTATACTTATTATAGGTTTTAATTTTGTTTTTTATGGAGACATGGCTGTAAAAACTTTATTTTTGCGAGAAAAAATTCATTGGACATTAACAGAAATAACATATGGTAATAGTTTCGCCAGCGTTATCTACATTTGCGGTACGATGTTTGGAACAACAATATTGTACAAAAAACTTAACGAAACGCATTTATGTATGTTAGCTATTTTTTCTATGGGACTCTCCAGTTTACTTAAGGGTTTGGCCCAAAATGGATATTATATATATGCAGGTAAGTTAATATTTATATAAAATCTATCTATATAAAAGACTAGGACGACAAGTCACACTGTTTGACCAGTAGGATAACTCCTGGCGCCACCTAGGAAAGAAATCCGAACTACCAACCGACATTTCAAATATATTTTATTTTTGAAGCAATACATTTAATTAATAATAATTATAATAATAATTATATATTAATATAATTAATAAAATTTAAAGATGTTCGGGATATACATTCTTTAAAAGGGCATTTTATGCTTTTCTTCTTTTTCTTCTTTCTTTCAAAGACCAACAGCAATGGCTGTTGGTCTGTATTCTGGATCTGCTAGTTGTATAGATTTATCAGCAAGACTTATCATTACAGACTTCTTATGGGAAAATGGATGATGAGAATTGTAGTTGAGATATCGTGAAGACCATGTTTCTTTTGCAAACCACATGGTTTTAACTGTATTGTTTATGCGATGTAAGGTGATATCCGGAAAATTTATTTTATTATTTTGTTCAATTTCTATAGTAAACTTTAGTTTTGGATGGTAACTGTTAAAATTATCTAAAATTTCGGTCATTTTATTTGTTGGAGTAACAAGGATACAGTCATTGATTTAGCGGTAGACTTACTTTACTTTATCGTGTCCGGACATATCATTCATAAAATTTCGGCCCAGTATCGGGCTACGTCGGTTCCATCTTTGTTGGCGAGCCACAAAAATCAAACATCGATGAGGACAGTTTCTGCATGTAAGAAGATGTTCCATATTCTGTGTTTCTCCACAGTCACAGTTCACATCATCTTGGTCTATTTTTCCCCATTTTGCCATGTTTGATTTTACTGTAGCAACCCCCGTTCTTATCCTATTCAAGGTTTTCCACGTTTTAAAGTCTAGGGTCTGGCCGGTCCATTGAACCTGCGGAAGTGGAAAATACTCAGGCGGTTCATCCTGCACTGTTCCAAAGAAGCTTTTCCTAGATTTTAGTCGCTTTCGTGGTGTTTGAGCTTTGTATAGGGCATGCCGATCGTCCGCGATCTGTTTAATTTTCTCTATGTGTTCTGCAGCGCCTCTGCGTGTTGAGGGTTCTGAAAAACCCGCTGCTCTATATAGATTTGAAAGTGGCGTTGGTTTCATGCACCCTATTACTATCCTGCATGTCTCATTTAGCGCAGTATCAACTTGTTTGGTGTGGGCAGATCTGCTCCAAACGGGGCACGCATATTCAGCAGTTGAGAAACACAGTGCCAGTGCCGTTGTTCTTAAAACGCCAGGACGTGCGCCCCATTTACTTCCCGTTAGCTTTCTGAGTATGATGTTCCTAGTTGTTACTTTCCCTCTTGTTTTTATGCAATGTTGTCTGTAAGTGAGGGACCGGTCCAGAGTTACTCCAAGATATATAGGTTGGTTTGTGTGTTCTAATGTATTACCATTCCACACAATTTGGAGTTTTCGATTGGCTTCCTTTGTGCGAAGGTGGAAAGCGCAGACTTGGGTTTTAGAGGGATTGGGTCTATAGTACGCTGTCATTGATTTTAAGGCAGTTTCGAGTTTCTCCTTCACTTCTTCAAAACTATTTCCTTGAGCACAAATCGCAAGATCGTCAGCATAGAGGATGTGCGTTGTTATTAGTGCTATTAGCGTTGTATACATATTAGTATGTATTAGTATGTATTGTATGTATGTAGTATATATTAGTATGTATTATTAGTATGTATTAGTATGTCTTAGCGGTAGAAGAATGGTACATTAAAATCTAAATGACTTATGACTTATGACAGAGTCATTTAGTCTTTCAAAACTAGTTGGGCAATGACATTAGAAATACTTGCACCTATTGCACATCCATCCATTTGTTTATATATTTCGTCCTTATATAAAAAGACCCAAAAAGACCCAAAGTCCCAAAAAGACCCGTCTTTATAGAAAAAGACCCAACCCATTTATTTGATTTACAAGCAGGAAGGTTTCATAACCTGGTTTTTGTACATATGTAGGTTAATTTCATAAGACAACTTCTAGCAAAAGTTGAACGATTCTCCTAAAAGTGGCTATGGCTCCGTACTTAGACGATAAGAAAGCTATACTTCCACTCCCAGAATCTTCTTTTTATTATTGTGCCGACTTCTAAAGAAGGTTGGAAATCTTATCACAAGCAATCAATATACGCGGCAACTGTTGTTATTGTATTATTCTAAATATTAAATAAGTCATATGGAAAACTTTTTCTTAGTAACTTTACTATCGAACCAATTCTTCTTGATGCTTACAATAGCATCCTATTATCATAGTATATTACATAAAAACTAATAATAATAATCATTTTATTTTTAGCTTTCGCCATTGAAGGATTTGTTGGTTTAGGTACTTCAATGTTACGAACTATGTTAACATATATTTTACCCCCTAATGAATTGGGAAAAGTCTACATGACTTCTAGCGCTTTAGACGATCTCTTTTCTTTAGTGGCTTCTTCTGGCCTATATCCGGCTATCTATGGAGATACTCTTACGACATATACAGGAAGCTTTTTCTTTCTAGATGTAGCAGTTAATTCTGGGATGGCAATACTGTTAATGTAAGTATAAAAGAGGATAATAAGTAATAATTGAAATTCATGTGTGTATATCACATTTTATTTTAATTTTGTCTATTATAAGTATTCTTTTTTTTTCTAATTCTACACTGTTATCTTCACCCGAGTAACCATTGTCCTTTAATGTTATCTCCGATTATTAAGTGCATAGATTCATACCGCTCGTCTCTTAACCTCAGTCATTCGGGCTATTCAACTTTCAATATTATCGGACTGAACCGATTCACTTGAAATTTGGTAAGTGGATGGGAAATTGCTCATATAACAAATGACAGACTATGTAACGCCGATGTGTGCTTCCAGCCCAGGGGTGGTTGCCACCATTTCTCGTCAGTGGAAATTTTCTTACTCTAAATAATGACGGGAATCAATAGAGGATTAAATTCTCAGTGACTTTTCTTGTATACAGTTTTTCATAAAGTTAATACTGTTGAAAGCGGCGAATTTTTATTGAAAAAATCACGTTTTTTAACGATTTTTTATAAATAACTCAAAAAATATGCATTTGATAAAAAACTATTAACAACAAAAATAATTTCTTATAGCAGAAAAATGAGATTTATTTTTTAAAAAGTTCTTCTAGATATAATACAAAGTGAGATAAGGTCGGTGAAAGGGGACATTTTTTGTGAATATTTGGATCAATATACATAGGCTGTCTGATAAATTTTTATCCTCACCGCCCGATGTCGCCACTATCTTAAAACAAATTTACTATCGTGGAATACATTCTCATAGTCGGCTAATGTCAAAATTTCAACCGGATCGGACTCGTAGTTTTGTTTTGACAGCGTGTGAAAGCAGACTATTCCACGGATTTTAAAAAAATGGAAAACGATTAATATCAGTTAGTGAATCGATTCTTATTCACGCAGTGAATTTAAAGAGCGCTTGGATACTGTTACTGTATGACAGTTACTGTATACGGTGTGTATGCTCCTTCGGTGCGCAAGATAACTAAGACAGTAAACGTCTCAGAAGACTGCGTACGTCATCTCCTGTATGAAACATTGGACATAAGAAAGCGGTCTGCGCTATGGGTGCCACGTTTGCGCACTCCGAACAACAGGCGCAACCGTGAGACTACTTCAGAGCAGTGTTTGAGTATATTTAAGCGTACTCCGAAGGATTTTCTGCGTCGTTTTCTAATCGTTGATGAAACATAGATCCACTGGTATACACCAAAGATCAAAGAACAGTGAAAACACTGGATAGCACCCGTCGACGTGCCCTAAAGAATGCGAAGACTGTCCTATCGGCCAAAAAGATGATAGCTACCATTTTCTGGGATTTACCAGAGATGATCTACATCGACTACCTGGATAATGGCAAAACGGCCACAGGGTCTTACTGCCCCGAATTATTGGGCCGATTAGAAGAAGAATTGCAGAAAAAACGACCCTCCATTTGGCAAAGAAAAAATGATTATGTCTAAAAAAAGTCATTATAGCTTTAGGTGACACTTCTACGAAGTCGTAGTGATTAAGTTGATAATGCTTAAATATATTAAGGCTTATACTGTTCAACTCTGGGCAGTTGCACAAAACGTGATCTGCCGTCTCATTATTAGCCTGACACAATCTGCAATCCGCACTTTCTGTTAGTCCGATTTTGTTTACGCGTCCCTTGAGATGACAGTGTGTCATTGGGAGACCTACAATAGTACGCAGATCAGTTTTATTCATATCTAGTAGATCTTTGAATTTTTTCTTTAAAGGTTCATGTATAAAAGCCTTCGAATTTTTGAGAAACATTTTTTTCGTACAGTTGCTTTCGTGCTTCTTGCTATGCCAATGACGGGTACTGGACCTATATATGTTTCTTTTCCTCTCCCCTTCTGGTAAGTAGTTTCGCTTTTTCGTTTTCTGTCTTTAGTAGAGTGATTACCTAGGCTTTCGTTAAGGCTTACCCTCAGTTTTCCTTCATATACCCAAGCTTCAACTCCTTCATCGGTTTTAGAGCCGTCCGTATGCCAGCTTGATCTGCCATTATGAGATTCGTTTTATACGACTCCCATCCTCTTTCTAAAAAGAGGACGGTAAACGGCTTTTCTTAATCGTAGTTAAATTGCATCACATACGATTAAGAACCCTGGGTGATTTTTAATTATTTCTCTAGATATGCTTCCTGTATTTATTACGGATTATTAGTTATAGGACTAACTACAGTAATATATAGCCAGTACAATGTTTAAGTTTCAAACGTCATGTTTCCCATATATTCTTCGATATGTCTAAAGAGAGAGCTTTGCTTTGTTGGTTATTCTTACCAAATGGGTGTTATATGATGTAAGCCAGCTATCTGGAATTACTCTTAGATGTTTGAGCTCATTCGCTACTTTGGCAGTTTCTCCATACATAGCGGGTATCCAGGTTATCTAGATTATGTCTAAGTTTTATCTTTATCTGATAGTTTTTGCTATGATTGACAGAGAGTCTCTCTCGATTGCACCACATAGTCAGGATATTATTTGATGTTATTTGTAGTGTGCTGGATACAAGCCATTACCATATTTTCCTCTTGCCATAATTACTTAATCATCCACATTGTCCTGTACTTCTACTTTCTGTGCATCAAGTAGCGAAATCAAGTCACCGGAACTGACCACAGGAGGGGAAAAAGCACTCTCCCCAGTGGGAACCCCTTAGCTAATTTATCTAAAATGTTTCTTCCTACAGGTCGGTTAAAATTAGCCCATTTTTCAGCATTGCTTGGATCCAGTTGCATACGGTAGCGGATATCGTTTTTGATTTTGCTGCATCATAAAGATAATTTAGTAGTGTATTATTAAATGAGCCTTCTAGAACTAGTAAAGCAGTTAATGCAATTTTTCCATTATAATGAAGTGATTAATTTTCTTAACTTCGTTCAGTGCTCTTTGTGTTGATTTTCCTTCTTGGTATGCATAGATACTACCCCTTATTTGTTTTCTCTCATATATTTTTCACTTTTATCATTTTATACCAGAATATAAATTTTAAATTAATATTTCATTTTTTAGGTATCTTATGAGGCAACCTATACCCAGAAATAAAGTATCAGAAAAAGAAAATCTAGACAAAGTCAATCAAATTGAGTCTGAAGTAATTTTTAAAAATAAAGATATCGAAAAATTTTAGCGAATAGAAATCTCATTAAATCCAAATCACTATCAAGTACACAACATAAATTATTATGTTCCATGAACATGACTGATTTATTTTAAATTAAATTGTGTTGACTATTTTAAATTATGCGTAGTTGTAAAATACATACGTCAGTCAAATTATGTACAGGGTGTTCCAAATTGCCGTTTTGCCTTTTACGGGTATATCGAAAACTAGAGAAGATATAAAAAAAGTAGTTAAGATGTTATGACTTTTTTCGTTAAAATAGCGATTGCCCAATCAAATCATCAATAGCTCTCCATGTTAGTGAGATACTGGGCAAATATTAAAAAATGTCGGGGGAATATCATTACTTCTATTGAGGCTAGGATTCTGTGCTCAAACTTTTTTGTGATAACATCTATTGCAGAAAATCGTAAGGTATTCATAAATAATAAGGCTATTACTAACATTCCTTTGTTTATTACCCGATCCTATCGCAAACAAACTTAATAGTAACGATTAATAAAGTACACGGTTCCTTCAGCCGAAAATGGAGACAATTAACCTCGATCCTGAAAAACCTCCTGAACTCCCGCCAGATTTATTCCGGTCCATTCGAAGTATATGTATAGGGAAAAGACAAAAATTAAATCGTAAAGGAAAAAAACGGTTAGATGTTGTTTTTAAAGGTTTTAAATTGGGAAATATATTTGTGAATGATAAAAAATGGGAAAGTTTACAATATGACGTTTTTATTCCAAATTACAATGTCTCCTGAAAGGGTATAAGAAACATATGCAAAGAAATATCTGAAGTGGAAATTAAAAATGCAATTGAAACAAAATTGGTCTCCTTTAAAGTAATTGACATAAAAAGACTAAATAGGAAAATTCTTGAACAGGAAAAAGAACAAGTTTATGTACCAACAACTACCATACCGTGACGTTTACAGGAAAAGCACTGCCTAGTGAGGTTCACACTAGGCAGTGCTCACTATAAAAAATAATGTGAATGTTAATATGCAAAAAACACTAACTGACAACAAACAAATTATGGATGTAAATAAAAAGTGGTGTAATATAAAAAACTCATTACTGAAACCAGCTCAAGAAAGTTTAATAGAACATAAATCAGAGGCTAAAAAACACTGGATGACAGAAGAAATACTATTACTGATGGAAGAAAGAAGGAAATATAAAGGAAAAGATCTACAGAAGTATAAAGAAATACAACGAATAATTAAGGAAAAAATCAAAACAGCTAAGGAAATCTATTTGATGAAGCAATGTAAAGAGATAGAAGAACTAGAAACAAAATATGATATGAGAAATATGCACAAAAAAATTAGAGAAGTGACTGGAATGGGTCGAAATAGACAGCAAGGACACATAAAAGACAAAAAAGGAGTACTACTAGTAGATTTACCAGAGAAGTTAAGGCGATGGGAGGAGTACGTTAGAGAACTTTTCCAAGATGAAAGAGGTGAAATGCAGAAAATACAAGAATTAAATCCTTTAGAGATACAGAAGATCACGATAGATGAAATCAAATATGCTATCAAAAACTCTAAAGACAATAAGGCAGCTGGATTAAATGAAATACCAGTAGAACTCTTAAAACTAGTGGAAGAGGACAACTTGGAAGTATTGGCAGATTTATTCAACACGGTGTACGATACGGGAATAATACCACAGGAGTGGCTAAAGTCAGCATTTATAACCATCCCTAAAAAACAAGCAGCAAAAGAGTGCTCTGATTATCGAACAATGAGCCTCATGAGTCATACTTTAAAAGTTCTGCTAAAAATAATACATAAGAGAATATACGAAAGGCTAGAGGAGGATATTAGCGAGACGCAGTTCGGGTTCCAAAATGGAATGGGTACTCGAGAAGGACTATTTGCCATCAACATATTAATTCAGTGATGTCGGGATGTGAATGTTGATTTACACTTGTGCTTCGTTGACCACGAAAAAGCTTTCAATAAAGTAAGACATGAAAAACTAATATCAATACTTATGAACAAGCGCATTGACAGTAAAATCATAAATATAGTGCAAACATTATATTGGAACCAAAGTGCCATAGTTCAAATTGATGGGCAACACTCAGAAGAAATGAGGATCTGTAGAGGAGTTGGACAGGGATATGTGTTATCACCACTTTTGTTTAACTTATATTCTGAAGAAATTTTCCAAAACACGCTCAATAATATCGAAGCGGGAGTCACCGTTAACGGAAAATTAATTAATAATTTAAGATATGCAGACGACACTGTGATCATAGCAACGAGTATAGAGGATCTACAACATCTTATCGAAAGCTTAAGTATAAATAGTGCTGAGATGGGAATTACTATAAACGCCAAAAAAACGAAGTACATGCTGATTACAAAAAGGCTACAAAATATACATCACCTATTGACAATAAATGGTAACGTGATAGAACAAGTAGAAAAATATCAGTATTTGGGAACTTTGATCAATGAAACCAATGATCATACTGTAGAAATAAACAGACGAATAGAGATTGCCAGATCAGCATTTATACGAATGAAGCCACTCCTAACGTGCAAAAATCTAAATTTGGAGATCAGACTACGTACCATTCGCTGTTATATACTTTCAATATTATTATATGGAGCTGAGACTTGGACATTAAAAAAATGTAATTTAAAAAGAATCGAGGCCTTCGAACTCTGGTTATACCGCAGAGTATTGAAAATATCATGGACTGATAGAATTACAAATAAAGAAGTACTGGAGAGGGTTGGTAAAGAAACAGAACTAATCACCACTAGACAAACCAGAAAACTGGAATACCTAGGCCACGTGATGAGGGGACCAAAATATGAAATTTTGAGACTGATAATACAGGGAAAGATTCAAGGAAGATCTGTTGGCCGAAGGCAGAACTCATGGTTAAAGAATCTACGTGATTGGTACCAATGCAGATCGATTGATTTGTTTAGAGCAGCAAGTTCTAAAATAAAAATAGCCATTATGATTGCCAACCTCCGTAGGGAGACGGCACTCTAAGAAGAAGAAGTGAGGTTCTTGTATATGGATTGGCCATGAGGGTTTTTCCATATATCAGCCCAGTTCTAATGTGTGGAAATTGCCTGTTATATGGTCACAGTAATAATCAATGCAGAGGGAATCCAAAGTGCCAGAAATGTGGGAAAAACCAACACGGAGAGGCCTCGAATTGTGAAACGTACTGCATTCATTGCAAAAAACATGATCACATCTCTAAAGATAAAAAATGTAGAGTGCCAATGACAAAAAGAATTAAAAGCCCTAATGTCTTTCTCTAATAATTTATATTACGAAGCGAACATGCAAATACCAAAAAAGTGAAAACCAGGAATATTCTTTGAACGAAGAGAATTTTCCTATCTTGCATAAAGAATCCAAGCCTAATAATATAATAGATATTACAGAAAGAAGAATAGAAGCCATAAAAAATGATACAAATATACCAAAATATAACCAAATCGTCAACTCTCAATCTACTAAAAGAAAACCAGACATAACAGTAATGACAAAAAACAACACAGTGCTCAACTAATTAATACGGAGGGAAGATTGAACTGGACAACAGACTCTCAATCAATGTAATCAACATCAAAAGGTTATAGTACAAATAAGGAAACTGAACATAGAATCTCCCATGCAATGTCATTACTACCACCACAATATAAAGAGGTGGTACTATCTTTTGTAAATAACTTGCAATTAAAAGAAACTAAACAAATAACATAACCTATGATTTAATGGAAGATGGGACAGTATCTGATGTTCCAGAATACTAAGCCCAAACTAAAAAATAAAGCTTTCACTCCTTTGACACTACAATGGAATATAAGATCATATAATGCTAACGTGGATAACTTAAAAATAACTATCAAAGAATACAATTCTGACATATTATTGCTAAATGAAATATGATTAAATAATAACCAAATAATCAGATGCAAGGACTATCAAGTAATTAGAAATGATAGAGATGATTCGTATGGTGGTATAGCCATCCTTATTAGGAATGAAGTAGAATTTTATGAAATATCGTTATCTAATAAATTTAATAACAACTCTTAATTCCAATCAATCTTCCTACCTAAATTCCAAATTAATCTACTTAATGCCTATGTCCCTAATGCAAATACCATATCTAAACAAAAATGGATAAAACTGATCCAGGAAATCAACAAACCAGTGATAATAATGAGAGATCTGAACGCCAACCATGAGGCTTGTGGTAGCACCTGTAATAATTTCAATGGGAGAAACATCTTCCAAACATTAGATGATCTTGAACTAGTTTTTTTAAATTATGGGTCATATACCAGAATAGCACCACCACCAAAAGGATCATCAGCGGTGGACCTAACAATAACATTTAAGGATATTACCACCGATCATCATGGCAAATAATTCCCGACTTATAATTTAGTGATCGTCTATCCTTCTTCTTATTTGAGTACCGTGCCCAAATTTTAGGCGTGTGTAGCTTCCATGCCGAGTTGCCGATATCGTTCTCGATCTTGCGCGGCAAGTAATAATTCATCTGCTGATAAGTCAGTCCATTGACGATGGTTTCGGAGCCAGGAGTATTTCTTCCTACCAATTCCTCTTTTTCCGTCGATCTGTCCGTTGAGTATCAACTGTATTATCCTGTATCTGCTTTCTCTCATTATATGCCCCAGATTTTTGAGTTTTCTCTTTTTTATCATCTTTATTAAGTGACCTTCCCCTTGACCTACTCTGTTTAGGACTTCTCTGTTTGAAATGTGTTAAACCCGTGATATTCTGAGCATCCGGCGATATAACCATATCTCAAAGGCTTATAATTTGTTCATTATGTTAACCTTCATAATTCAGGTTTCACATCTGTACAGTAATACAGGATACACATAATATTTTAGGAAGTTAATTCTCAGCTGTAATTTCAGCTGAGAATTGCTCAGAATACATCTAAGTTTCATAAATGCACATCTTGTAATTTCTATACGAGTTTTAATTTCTTCATCTA